TATTAAAATATACTCTTGAAAGGTCATAAGCTGCAATATTTATCTGCCAACAGTAAACTTTAAGTGTTTTCCCATGCTAACACTCTCCTGCCACGATTTGCCATGCAGAATCCGTTTGTGTTTGCCTGTGTTACTCTGTAGACTTCGTAGTAAATTATCTAGAGCTGCTGGTAGGAATCATACTGTGGACTCTTCTACTGCAGAAAGAGGTTTGAGTTTCACAAAGCCCTTGTGCCGTTTCCATCACAACCTTAAACCCTTTTTTCTTATTTAATGATATATAAAAAAGTGATATAAAAAATCCCAGGCGGTGCATCCTTATTATAAAGCTAGCTTTAAAAAAAACCTTAAGTTCCTCTGCTCTCCCCCAAGTCCTTTTTTTTTTTGTCCTTGTTTCACAGTGCAGAGGGACCACCTCTGGCTCTTTTTCCCTAAAAGACTTTTGAACATCTGGGCTGAAAGGCTTCATTTTTTTAATCTGATTCTGAAAGCCTTTTTATGTCTTTATTTCAGTTTTCTTAACGTAGGCGGTGAGGTGCTGACGTGAGTTGTATTGTGAAAGCTCTAAATACACGGCTTCGATTCTTTAAAGTTTGTATCTTCAAAAAAAAAAAAAGAGCAAAAATTAAAAATCTCCCTCATTTCAGAGCCTCCAGTTCAGCATTTTGATGGCAGACAGAGTTCAAAGCATTAATATTTTTAGTTCCCATAGCAGGCTGCTTTGCCCACAGTGTTCCCTGGCATTTCTTACGGGTTTTCCCTTATCTGTCTGGTGTGATAGATTAATACAGAGCATCTGCTGCAAACCCATTACTCAGCGAGTGTCTCTGTATATATTTCCCCGGATTTTAAACAGTCCTGCTTGGGAAGGAGCTGTGCTAGTCCGTGCCAGCACGATGCTGTTGTGCAGGCTCTGCTGGACCAGACAAATAGGAGCCACATCTCTGCACATGGAGACGTTGTGTAGCGCTAATAAGATGGCAGATGCGGGCTAATATTTTTAATCATGTCAAACGATATGCGTGGTATGTGCTAAAGAGGGTTTAAAATACATTAATTAAATGGATTATCCGATAAATTTTGCTGAAATATTTGGTTTTCCATCCTTAGAAGGATTCCTAATAGCTTTTTAGCTATAGGAGTGCTGCCTACTCATTCAAGCCCGAGGTATCAAGCCATGTGCAAGCAGGACTAACAGCTCACCATATCGATGTGTGCTGCTCAGGGCTGTGTGCACAAGTACTACTGGTTGGTTTTTTTTTGTCATCTTAGAGAGATTTCATTTGTGAAGAGACACATATCCCAAAATTGCGATAATATGGAAGGTCATCTTTACCTTATAAAGCCAGAAAACCCAGAAAGAGTGGAAGAAATTGTCTATGTTAGGCTAACTTGTAACACAGACTTTTTTGGAAACACCTACTGTGGAAAAGAGGATATTTCTTTTTACCACCGAAAATACAACATTTTAACTTCTTTTCCTATCTGTCTACAGCGAACCATGAAAGAAATACGTTCATAGATGCCTTTTTAAATGGTTTGCATAACTGCAGGTGGTCAGTTGGGACTGAAAGAGAATTGCTTTGCAGCAAGGTGACTTCACCGTTTGAAGCATTCACGGTTTTGTATTTGCTTACACGCTGTCGGTAACCTTAAAGTATTTCTTTTAAAAAGGAGCAAACTGAGTATGGTGACATTTGTCAATAAAAGGTAGTTACGGTTCATCTAAAACTCCTGGCTGATTTACCAAATTACTTTCTGGTTCTGGAGAAATACTCGTTATCTTGCATGCACTTTGATATTTATTTTGTTGTTGTTTTGGAAGGCATAAATCACTGTCGAGTGGTCACATAAGGCTGATAAATTCCTGAAGCTTTGGTGTGTATAAGTACAAAGGCGATTTTGAAACATAAGCAAGTTATGGGAATAAATGTGCTGAAAGTGTGCTTTCCTCCTCCAGATTGAAACACAAACTGTCGACTCTTAAGTGACTTACCAAGAATTGTGTTCTTCCCAAAGTGGCAAATTAAATGCTGCTCATTAAGTAGTTTCTGAAATGCAAAATGAAGTGGAGCTGCAAGGATTTGGCTGATAAAGCTTTTCTAAACGCGCGTTAGGAATGCAGAGCGGGCAGCAGCACCGCAAGGTGCACCTTGCATCCATCTCTGCCTTTGCAGAGAGACATCCCTTAATTTGCAAAAAACACCTCTCTTTTTTCAGCTTTGCGTAATTAAGTATTGTGTTTCACTCCTCACTCAACCCTGGGAACCCAATTTTTAACATCCCAAATAAAGGTAATACTTGGCAAGGAACAGAAGGAATCAGTGGGATTTTTTTTTTTTCACCCTAAAAAGTCCTTTATTACCTGGGGTCTGTACCATGTACTTGGCTCGAGAGAGGCTCCAGCAGTAGAAGGTTTTTGGGATAGAACGTGCAAAGTTTGTGATAGATCTTTGGGTGCTTTGCTTGCCCACAGCCAGTTGGGGAGTTGCCTGCTTATGGTATGCAACTTGATTTTCTGCAGCACATGGGTTTGGGGGAGGTTGGTGGCTGTTATTGATGTGTTCAACCCATGTTCTGGTGCTGTCTGCCAGGCTCGGAGCCTGAGTTGGAAAGGGCAAACCAAGCTTTGTGTTTTGAAACGCAATTACGTTATTTATTCATTGATTTATATTTTTTTTACCTGTTGTCAATGTTTGGTATTGTGAGATAATCTGCCTGAATGCCTGTAAAAAGATTTATGCCACTGAAACTGAACTTAGACAGCCATGCTTGTGCTGAAAGCAACGGTACATTTGGATTTCTTTTTCTTTTTACACGCTGATTTGGATGTTTGCTCGTTTTTGTGCTTGTTTAATATGAATCTACTGCTCGATTAAACAAAATACATCATACTTGTAAACTGTTTTCCGTGGCTTGCTCACTTGTGAATGCTCAGTTTCGGATGTTTTTCGGGTGTGCTGAACGATCTCCATCAATTACTGTGGTTTTGGGAATGGATTTAACATAGAAAAAAATTCTTAAATGGAAAATGTTTGTCTGTTTTAACCGAGCACTTGGAGAATTAGCTTATGTTTAGATACAAAAGGGTGTGAAATGTGAAAGCTGTCCTGAAATTCTGTGTGCAACTAATTTGTGAAGATTAAATATCTCTAAAAAGAGGATGGAGGCTTGGAAAGGGGTTGTTCCCCTACATTTTCTGATCCCATGCATTAGCTTTCTGGCTAGAAGGATCGTATAGTGTGCTGGAAGGAAAGTGGGATGTGGAAAAGAAGCTTGATGTCTACAGATGGTGGTTTTAGGTGTTAGTGAGGACTGACTTTGGGTTTCTCCACCTTGACCTTTGAGGGATGGCAACAGTCCACCTTGTGCTTTAAGTAGGTAGATAGATTTCTTTTTGTTATGCTACATTTTTGCTGGAAATTATAGTATAATTCTGTAGAATACAACATTTGATGGTGAGGAGCAACCCCTGAGAAGGATGCTTTTAGTCTTTCTCGTCGTGGGGCAAGCTTCCCACAAACTTTGCAGAAAGCCATCAGACATGTGGCTCTCCAGTGAGCCGGAAGAAAATAAATGGGAGAGTTGTGAATTCTTTCAGGCTTCTGTCCTCCTAGTACTGAAAGCCTGAAAAATCTTACTGATCGGATCAGTTGTTATTGTAGCGATTGAGCTGCATTTTTTTTTTTTTCCCCTATGAAGAGGGGAGAAATTCTCCCCTATCAGTGGGAGAAGTTCCCTTTCCTGTTAGCTGCAGGCAGGCTGGGTACCGTAGTGACAGCGTACGTTCCCCTTCCCCAGCTTTCTGACGAGGAGATGCTTTTTTAAAATAAATAAATCAAGATTTTTACTCTGCTCGCTCAAAGTAAGATGCAAACGAGTCAACGCTTCTCGCTTCTCTCTGTCTAAACCTTTGTATTTCAATAATTTAATACTGGTTTTTATTGTTAGTCCATGGATGTGGTTTTCAGCTTACGAGGAACGTTTTGAGCCGTTTGATGCCGGCTATGAATTTTAAGTGCAGGAAAAGGAACCCATAAAAATTAATAAACCGATCTCCGGAACTTTTTTCGTGGGATCCTTGGAGCGGGTGAAGCAGGCTGCTAACAGCTAGTTGATGATAAAAGCTGCTAAAGACAGGCAGTGGGAGGAAGGGGCAATAAATCACACGAGCAGGTGAGATGCTGCCGGCAACACCGCCGGCAGCAATCACAGCAAACTGCTTTCTCCGCGGATCTTGCCTTCAGTTTAAGGGAAAACCAGACGTTCTTTATTTGTCCTTAACATAAGCATCAGTGCAGTTTTGTTTTGGATCCATCTGGATGGGAAGGGAAGCAAAAGCTTTTTTTTTTCCCAGTAAATGATACTTCAACCTGGTTACCCCGTAAGCATAAATAGCAATTATCTTGCATGCAATGAATGCCATTAGCATGTTGTCTGCTGTTAGTGAGTCACCTCTTATGAAATTCCTGATGCTCTCCAGATGGTAAAGAATGAGCTACTGGGAAGAGTTTTATGTCATCAGTAGAGCTGAACTTTTTTTTCCTGAAAACTGTTGGGTTTTTTTGTTTTTGTTTTTTTTTTTTTGAGTGGTCTATATGATTATTTTTCTCTTTTCTTGTGGTTTCCGAGCCAGATACGGGTTAAATTTTCATCTAAATTATTAGCTGAGCTCATCCCCACTCTGCAGTCACATACAATGGTGAGTTCTCTCTCAAAAAAAACCCAAAAAAAACAAAAAACCTACCCCTGAGGTGGACGAGAGACATCAGCTGCAGACAGTGGGTCTGACCTGGAGAGGCTACGTGCTAACTCTTGCTGGGACATCTACTTGGGCTTCTTAGCAGCGCCCAGTCAAAGCAACGATGTCGTTGCTTCCAAACTTTCTTGCCCTTCGCAAGTCTAACCGTTCAACTTGATGTTATGTTTCGCCTGCTGATTTTATTGTCGGTTAACCGGTTTTCTTTCCTTTGTCTTGTATATGATGGGACCTCCGCTAGACAGAGGTAACGGTGGGGGACAGTTGTGTTAGCTGGACCCTCGTGTGGTGGTGTTTGTCGGTGGTTTTTCCTAAAACCGTTGCTAACGTCAGCCTTGCTTTCCTCATGCTTCTGTGCTTGCATGACCTGGTTTCTGTGGAATAACCTCATCCACGCCTGCTCTCCTTTATATTAATTTCATTTTCCTGGGCGTACGTGTGTGTGTCTGTGTGTGTGCCTCCTCTTGCCGTGTTCTCCAAACGGGTCACCAGTGTGGATTTCCTAACAGTTTTACGGATCCTTTTCAGTCTTTGAAGCTTCAGCCGATCAAAGGGACTCGGATTTTTAGCTTAGTGAGGGAGATTAGCTGATAAAACACATGGTGTTTTCTATCAGAACAAGATGTTGAAAAAGAACTGGAGCAACTGTGAGAGAGATTGAGATCGGTATCGGTCCTGGTCCTCCTAATGAGCTTGTAGAACACACTGCTGAATCGTGTGCTGCTGATAACTACATGTTTTTAATAACTTTGATCATACTTTATATCCATGGGAAATAGTTCTTTCTCAGCTACTGCTACAACAGATTATGCCTAGAACGCTATTAGTGAAATATAATAATTTCCTTTTGAATCCCATATTAAAAAAATCTGGTTTTCGTAACACTAATATCTCAAAGATTGAGACAATTTTAAGCAAAATGGACATAGTTTTATATAGCTGTGTTTCATCTAGGCTAAACCAACTCATTTGTATTGTGCAGTTCCCTATCCCTCATTTGAGATGGGGAAGCGCTGATCTTTGCAGGGTATTTCTGGCAGATTTGAAGGCTGGAAAAGGTCCACTGAATGTGAATGGAGATAGCAGAGGTGTGTGTACGTGAAATGGCTTGGTGGTGATAAGGATACAAATAAAGCCTTCTGTTTCTCTCTTTAATCTATTGCTTTATTTTCTCTTTTCGGGGTGTGGGTCGGATGAATAAATAGAAATTATCCCAGGAGCGAGAGAAGTTTGCCGATGAGGACAGCATATTTTACGCGCTTGGAGAATGCGGACTCATTTCTTTTTCCGACTACATCTTCCTCACAACAGTCCTTTCCAGTAAGTACAGTGGTGTTGGTTTTTTCCCTCTGCAATCACTGCTTTTTTTAAGTTTTGAAGGTTTACAAGCAATGCGTTTGCTATTGTTGTATGCATACGTTTCCCTAAAAGGAATTCCTGGTTGAGCTTGAAGCTCAACGATTAAGAGATTGACTTCTGAAGATTTATTTCTCATTTTAGAACGTGGCAATTTTTTTTTTTAATGAGTCATTTGACCTGCTGTTCAAAATGGTAAATGGAGATGCATTCTTGAATTGTGTTCATATGATTGATATTCTTGTGTTTGGATGAATACTGCTTTCCAGCTCTTTACTGGTTACAAGGCTGTTCTAACACTCTCTTCTCCAGCTATATTTTCACTTGGATAGGCTCAGGCTTGTGTGTGATGTCATCCAAGGAGGAGAGAAGTTGAGCTGTTTACATTTCAACAAGTATCGTTAGATACCTTCTGTCTTTTCACCCTGCTGCACTCGACTTGCATTTGGGATATTTCTGTGATCTGCTAATCTGTGCCAGCCAAGTCTTCTGCGCTTGAAGTGCTGGCACTTAAAAGTTTGCTTTGTTGGCAAGAAATGGTGAAACTGAAGCCTTTGGTAATGTCAAGCGGCGTTTCTAGACTTTCTTCCTGGGGAAAGCAAGCTCAAAACCTCATTTGCAGAACTTCAGTAGCTGCTTGGAAGGTGCTGCATCACAAATAGGAAAGTCAACAGAAATTCCAGTTATTTTTCAGCCCCATTAGAAAATACGGGGTAATAGGGATTTATGCCACACTCCAGGTGAACTTGAGACATTTTATTTTCAGGCTTTTAAAAAAAAAGAGAAAACTTGGCCATCTAATCTTGTAAGTACCTGTTTCATGATGACCTGATTACAGGAATTAAAAAGCTGGACTCTTCCTCATTTACTCTTCACCCCGTTGCTCCCTGCTCTGTGCTGTTCAGGGGGCCAACTGGGTAATTCACTGATGTTTTGTAAAATGAACAGATGTTTTATTATTTCCCCCGTGTTCTTGTATGCTGGAACATGGACAACTGAAAGAGGCAACTCTTCATTTACTGAGGATCTGTTACCAGGGAGAAGCAGTGTTCAAGGTCTTGTTTGTTGTCAGGTGGGGGAAGACGTTTTGTGAGCCCTTCATGTCGTGAAAACAAACACTGAGAGATAAAGCTAAGAGATAAAGTTCAAGGCAGGGAATTCATTTTATGATTTTAATCTGCTTTTTTGTTTGACTGACTCTCAGAACTGACTCTCAAGGCTTTTGCCTTTCCTTTCTGGGGTTAGTCTAGCCTGTGCCAAAATTATCTAAGGTGTTTCCACTTGTGTAATGAGGGCTTTTCCTCTAAGACTCTGCAGATGACAATGAATGCTCAAACCTATAATGTCAGATTGCTGAATGTGGTTTAGAAACCGCTTGTGCCCTTGGCTTTACGGCTGTGCCGGTGGTGAACAACCTCCCAATCAAGTACGCAGGGCGCAAAATTAATTTCATGTGCTTCCACAGGCAGAATTAAGAGACAGAACGGAGTTGTTCTTGCTTTGTTTTAATTTCTTTGTTGTGAGAATAAAAGAAAACGGACCACCTTGTGTCAGAGTAGCTGCCAGCCTTGTTCTGGAGAGCTGCACGGGAGGGACAGGTTTTTTCCCATCTTGTTCTTGGGCTTTTAAATGTGTTTACAGTTACTGGGGAATCAGACTGACAAGAGGAGACAGAATTGGGCAGTGTGTGCTTTGAGGAACAATGTAAAGGGTGGGCAAGGCAGAAGCTTTCAAAAAGGAAAGAATTTAAAAAAAAAAAGGGGGGGGAAAAAGTGTTCCAGGACTTTTAAACTGACTTTTAAGTATTTTGGGAGTTTTCTGAATGGACATGGAAGGTGGAGGGATGTCTCTGGAGCTACTGTCAAACAGTGATTCTCCAGAGGAAGAGTTTTGGGGTTTATTTTCAAAGCATTTGCTTTATAAGTTTTATAGTATTTTTAATATACTATTTTACAATATTTTTATAAATAAAACTCCCAAACAAACTTTGCCTTGTGGGTAGATAGAAAATTGACTGTTATGCCACGCTGGTTTATTCTCCTACTAGTGAACATTACTTTGCAGGAATCCGGTAGTTCCTGATTATTTTTTTTTTCCCTAGGAAATAAATGAAACAAAATGAGGAAAGTAGATCTTAAACCTGACAGTTCAATATTGGTTTTCTCACTGTATTGTTTAAATAACCCAAACATTAAGCATGTATCTGGATGAAAGAGCTGTAGATTACATCAGATAGCTAAGAGCCACTAAATTCTTAGAGAAGAAGGTGACATATTGAGTGCTGAAGCAGCATGATCAGAAGGGGAGTGTGAGATTGGGTCTGGGGGTGGGAGGCAGGAGAGAGAGGCACTCTTCTGCTGTGCTCAGAAGTGATGGGAAGAGATCAATCGTAGTCTCATCTGGCTTATTGAACTCAAAACTGCTCAATGATAACGTCTGAAAACAAGAAACCCAATGGGCTTTGCATTATTGTGCTCCTCAGGAGGGTTGTGCCCAGCAAGTCTGCTGAGATGGCTCCTGCCCATCTCCCTGACTGTACCGAAAGCACCGCCAGGCTTGGAGAGCAATTTCACAAAGCATTTAATTCCATTTGTCTTTGCAGCTTCTCAGAAACATGGACCGCGTGGCAGGTGCTGGGGAGGGAGAGGAGGAGAGAGGGCTGAAGGCTTCATCTGTATGTTGCTCGCAGGGAGCTGTTTGCATATTGCACAGAAAATGAAGTCTGTCACCATATTTTAGTTACAAGTGATTTCTCACTCTAGCACTGTCTGTTCTCGTGTTGCCGTGTTTATGTGAAAATTTATTTTTAAAAGCGCTAATAAAATAGCATTTAACTGCTTCAGAAAGTCAACCCTCTATTAAAGGCAATGAGAGCTGAGTGGCCTTGAGGACACCCCATGGTTTCGGTAGCTTCAGCTGCTCCCTGTGTTTTGAGGTAGAGGTAGGAAGATGAACAAAATACAGGCTAAGCAAAATGCCAGTGGGATTTCTCCTGAGTCCTTCAAATGCCATAGGAAAGCAAGGATATTGTTTCCCTAACCAAAGAGGTTTTTGCTTTTGGACTTGCAGAACAGGTGGAGGAAGGAGAAAAAGAGCTTTTCCATCATCAGCAACTGCAATTTCAGAGCAAACGTGCTCCGTTGTCCAGGCATGCTAATGCCTTCTTGATTAACTGGTACTGAAGGGAGCTGGGCATTAAAAAAGTAAGTGAGTGTTGTTTCTGTAATTGAACTATCGCTGGGTCTGGATTTACTCCTCCTGGAAGGAGGGATAAATAGCATTGCTCAAGCCAAAGTGATTACTCTTTTGCCAGGGTTGTCGTAGCAGACCTGCAGCTCCTTCTCCCATCTCCTGGTGGGCTGTTTCTAGAGCACGACGTGCTGCCATCCCTTGTTGCTGGCCCATGAGAGGCCTCTTGCCTAGGATAGATTCACCTTTTGTTCTGTTTCGTTTTTCTTTCTCGTCGTATAGGAAATAAATCCCAAACCATCTAGCTCTGGAAATTAATTTCTGGCCGGATTTTGAGCGCTGTGCGGGTCCCTGCGATGGAGGCGACATGGTGTGCTCTCCCACAGTGCTGCACGCAGGCGATGGGATGGCCAGGGTCTGTTTGCACTGTGGCTGTTGTGAATATGTATTGCTGGCTGGCATGAACGTCCTCAGCCTCCTTCCCTGCTACAGGTGAGGTCTGCTACCTTACCTGTGGTGTTTCAGTCTTGCAAAGCAGCACGAAGTGCCATAGGGCTGGTTTCTACAAGAAAAGAAGATGTAAGGTTGCTTTGAGTTTAGCAGTATTTTTGTTTGTCTTCCTGTTCGTCTTAATTTCATCTTTATTCTAAACTTTCAAGACTCTCCGTTGACCTGCGTGCAGAGACACGGGTCCATCTCCTCCACACTATATGGTGCGGGGATTTCTTCAATACCTTTCTGCCAGCCCACTTACTGCTGTGTGGGATTTCCAAGATGTATCTGAGCAGACCAGAGATCCTCTCCCAAGGGATGCCCCAACTTCCAAATGTAAGCCTGGTCACTTCGAGTCAGACTGAGGGCTCTCTTGCTCAGCATCCCACTTTTGCCATGGGCTAGTAGCCATACTGAGAGACAGGAGGACAGAAATGGGACTTTTTTTTTTTGCAGTTGGGAGTTTAGTATCTTCCCAAGCAGAGCTTGACCTCTCCAGTTTGAAAATCGACATAGGGGCATGGGATGCTCTACCAGCCTCTCTGCCTGCAGTCTTTGTTTGATCTTTCTCTGTTCATCTTTTCATCCCTGGCATTTGCATGGTGTGATGGGTTGATGGATCTCCCCCAACCTCCTGTATCACAGAGAACAGTAAAATTGCAGTGGGGAAGGATTACTCTGCGTGCAGCGCTTGTTAGCCTGACTCAGAAATTCCAGAAACATTTAGTTTGATTTGCATGGTTAGTTCTATAGAATTAGGAAATAGAATAATTTTGTGTCAGTCATAGCAGTATCCCAGAACCTGCAGATATTTGGAGTGTCCTCTTTCTTCAAGGCTTCCCTGGAGAGCACAGCTTTTAATGGCCTTCGTTTGGAGCTCCCGTTTCCACAGCTTGTTCCCAGGTCCTTATTTCAGAGAGGCATTTAAGGGGGAATCTTGATTTCCAGCAATGCTCTGTGAGTCATGCGGTAACTGATGAGAAGTTGTTGAAAGGTGAGTCTTGTACTCCGGCCGAGGTGCTGTCACATTCTCTCAAATCTCTGAAACCGAGGCGTACGCTTGTCGTTGACATTAAAACCAAAATGCAGAACTTGGTGTCGAAATTACACTGTCTCTTTGGTTCACAAGCCAACCAGCAAAACGGAAAAGTGAAACAGCAATAACATTTTTTTTCTTAAACTTTTTTAATTGATTAAATGAGAGGAAGATTAAAAATGGCATTATCTGGGACATCACTCCAAGGAAAAATGTACTGCATGCTTGGTCTGAATTTCTGTATCTG